AGGCACGGGGCCACGACACCGCCCGCCACGTGCTGGCCTGTTTCGGGGGCGCGGGGGGCCAGCACGCCTGCGCCATCGCCCGCGCCCTGGGCATGAGCAGGGTCTTCATCCACAAGTAGGTGCATCGGGGTTGGGGGGGCTCCATGGGGACCCCCCTCTCCTGGTGCCGCCGGATGGTGGGGCTGGGGGGCCCTGGGGGGTGCCCTGCGTCCCCCGGGCAGTGTCAGGGTGTTCCTGGCCCCTAGGTTGATGGTGTGGGGTTGGGGGACTCTGGTTGCCCCCGAGGCAAATTTGTTGAGTTTGGGGGTGCCCCAGCTCCCAGGTGGATGCATTTGGGGGTGCCCAGGTCCCCAGGAGGATGCATGCGGTTTGGGGGTGCCCCTGGGTGTGGGGTTTGGGGTGCCCCAGCCCCCCAAGCGGATGATTGGGTTTAGGGGTGCCCCGGTCCCCAGGAGGATGCATGGGGTTTGGGGGTGTCCCGGCCCCTCAGTTGGATGCATTTGGGGGTGCCCCGGTCTCCAAGGGATGTGTTGAGTTTCAGGGGGCCCTGGCCCCCCAGGTGGTTTCATTGGGTTCAGGGGTGCCCCAATCCTCAGGAGGATGCTCTGGGTCTGGGGGTGCCCGTGGGTGCTGGGTCTGGGGGTACCCTGGTCCCTGGGGGACGGTCAGGGTCTGGGGGTCCCCGGGAGGATGCACTGGGTCTGGGGGTGCCCGCGGGTGCTGGGTCTGGGGGTGCCCACGGGCGCGGCAGCGGCGCGGGTGGGCATTGCGCAGGTACAGCGGGATCCTGTCGGCGTATGGGCTGGCGCTGGCGGACGTGGTGCACGAGGCCCAGGCCCCCTGCGCCCTGCGCTACGAGCCGGCCGCCTTCCCCTGGCTGGATGGGCGCATCGCCGCGCTAGAGCGGGAGTGCCGGGACGCACTGCGGGCGCAGGGCTTCACTGGGTGAGCTGCCGGGGGTCCCGGTGGGGGACGGATGGACGGACGGGGACACCGCGCCGCCGCTGTCCCCCTGCTGACGGGGCCGCCCCACAGGGAGCAGATCCGCACGGAGGCTTTCCTGCACCTGCGCTACGAGGGCACCGACTGTGCCCTCATGTGCTCGGCCAAGGGCCACCCGCCCACCCCACGCTCCTGCCGTGCCGGAGACTTCCATGCCGCCTTCACCAGCCGGTCTGTCCCGGCACCGCGATCCCCTGTCCCAGCACTGTGATTCTCATCTTGGAACTGGGATCCCCATCCCGGCACTGTGATCTCTGTCCTGGAGCCGCAATCCCTGTCCTGGCACCACGATCCCCATCCCAGCACCATGGTCCCCATCCCAGTGCCATGATCCCCATCCTGGCACCACAATCCCTGTCCCACCACCATGATCCCCATCCCATTGCCACGATCCCCATCCTGGCACCATGATCCTCATCCTGGTGCCGTGATTCCCCATCCCGGCACCACAATTCCCTGTCCCGGCACCGTGATCCCCATCCTGGAACTGCAATCCCCATCCCAGCACCATGATCCCCATACTGGCACCATGATCCCCATCCTGGTGCTGCGATCCCCTGTCCCAGTGCTCTGATCCCCCTCACGGAACCGTGATCCCTGTCCTGGTGCCACGATCCCTGTCCTGGCACTGTGATCCCCATCCCGGCACCATGATCCCAATCCCAGCACCAGGATCCCTGTCCTGGCACTGCTGTGCCATGCCAGGGGTAGCCGGGGGTCTCCCAGTGCCCCCTGGCCACAGCTGGTGCCTGCTCCTGCCCCACAGGTACCTGGTGGAGTTTGGCTTCACCATCCCTGACCGCGCCATGGTGGTGGACGATGTGCGGGTGCGCGGCACGGGCAGCAGCGGCATCAGCTGCGAGACCCCCCTGGCCCCCAGCGGGAAACCGGCCCGTGTGGAGACGGTGAGGGCAGGGGGTCCCAGGGGTCCTGGGGGGTCCCGGAGGGGCGTGGGGACAGGGGGTGACCCGGCGTGGGGCTGGGGGCTTGGGCTGGGTCCTGCAGGTGACGCGGTGCTACTTCGAGGAGGGGTATCTGGAGACACCAGTGTTCCTGCTGGAGGAGCTGGCCTGCGACCACACCGTCCCCGGCCCTGCCATCATCATTGACAAGAACAGGTAGGGACCCCGGGGGGACGGCAGGGACCCTGGGGGGCTGGTGGGACCCCGGAGAGCCAGCGGGGACCCCGGGAAGCCGGTGGGAACCCCACAAAGCCAGCAGGGACCCCGGGAAGCTGTTAGGGACCCCGGGGAGCTGGTGGGACCCTGGGGAGCCAGTGGGGATCCCGGGAAGCCAGCAGGGACGCCGGGAAGCTGGCTGGACCCCAGGGAGGCGGTGGGACCCTGGAGAG